GAGCACACTCCCTCTTCTGTGAGGAGATGTTGAGATGGTGGCCTTCTGCAAGCCACAGAGGGAGCCCTTAGCAGAAAGCAGCCCAAGTTCAGCCACCACAACCATGAGAGAATGAATTTCCATTATTGAAGCCATCATGTCTGGACCAACCATGACATACACACTCTCCACAGTTCTTCTACGTGCAGACTACGGTCCCCTGTCTCAGTTTCTGCCTCAAACCTCATCCCTCATCTCTCTCTGTCTCCTCCCAGTGAAAGGCGTGTTCATCAGAGGAAGGAAGACTTACATGAAGCCTGGTCAGGGAAGTTCTTGAAGTAACCCAAGAGGTAGGCAGTAGGTTGTGAAGCACTAAGATTAGGGTTTCTACAACAGTGGTTTCCTATGTGCACCATCTGTTTTCCTTGAACGTAATAAAAGTGACAGCTTTTCATGTACTGATACTCCCCATGCCTTTTAAAGTCAAACATATGATGCTATTTGTGTGTAAAGGTTTTTCTCTTGCGCCCATTTGTTTCTCCAGCTTGAATTTCTATGTAAACTCCCTTGGCTAAATCACACAAGCCGCCTACACCTCACCGCCTCCTCCCTCATTCAGAGCAGGGAGTGGAAACAGTGTCTGTGGTACCGTGTATCCGGTGTGCAGGCCTGGGCCAGGTGGGGAAGACGTCCCACAGCAAGGGGCCACCACCCCCTGTCTGTGCGCGTCGTCAGTGTGCAGCTCCAAAACACGGCCTCCACGTCTTTCTGGCAGCCTATCCTAAACCCGCCTTCCAGTCTCCCTGTTCTCCTCTGTTAACCTGACCACTCCCATTATGTCCCTTCTCCTCCTTTGTCTAAAATGTCCCTTTTTCCCTTCAAAGGAAATATTATGTATTTAAAGCAAACCTCTTCGTCTTCTTTTTTAAACAGTTTACCCAGGCTATAATTTTGAAGTTCACCCGTTTTAAGTGTATAGTTCAGATCTCTTTAGCAAATTTATCAAGTTGTGCTGACCTCAACCTCATGGTGATCCCCTTGCCTTAGCCTCCTGTGTGTTGGAATTATAGGTGTGTGACACCACACCCAGCTTGATAAAGGCAAATTATTTTGAAAGTACTATTAAAGTCTTCACTCATTTTTTCCCCAACCCTCCCTTCTATTAGCCCATGCAAGGATGTTAGTACATGTTAGCCAGCAGCTGTCCCATGCAGAGGTCAAGTCCATGCGCCTTCCCAAGGAAAGGCAGCTGGAAGCGCCTGCCAGCTACCACCTAGATCTGCCTCTCACCCTTTCTTTTCTTTCTTTCTTTCTTTCTTTCTTTCTTTCTTTCTTTTTTTTTTTTTTTGGTTTTTGTTTTTTGTTAACGGGAATCTAACTCACAACCTCTCGCTTACCAGCAGGCGCTATACTGCTGAGCTGTATCCCCAGCCTCTCCCACCCTTTCTAGGTCTCCTTGGACAGTCCTAGTCTCTGGCTGGGTGTCCAGGACTTGGGAGGACATGGTGTCATATGGTTGGTTATATAGGTTTTCTTATTTTGAGCCAGGTGTTTTACCCTCTGTTGAGTTTTACCTGTTAGTCTTATGCTCTTATGCCTCCATTCTCTGGGTTTCATAAGCCAAGATCATCTTTATTCTATACTGGAGTCCTTCAGTTGTTGCTGAATCATAGCGTTACATTTAGTTCTGTCATATTTGATAGTGTTACCAGGTAGACTCTTTAGAAGTGGCTCACCAGTCAAAAGTATTCCAGGCCCTTCCTGCCTGAAAGAATTGAACAAGACAAACCAAAAATGGTGCCAAAAGTTCATTTGAAAAGTGTGGGGTAAATGGATTACGGGAGAAACCAGCTCTGCAGAGCAAACTTGGCCAAACAAGAGAAAAACAAGATAAAAGCAAAAACAACAGTACATGCTGCATGAGAAACACAGCCCAGGTTGTCATGGGAATCACGGCAGCTTTCCATGGTCTGGTCTTCTTTTCTGCTGTCCACCTCTCACTGGGACTTGAGAGAAGTTACACATATGGGGTCCTGAGAATTCTTTAGCACTTGTAATTGACAGGTCCCGCTCATTTTCCCACCTAGCTTTGCCGCACCCCATCTCCTATATCAACACAACTGGCTTTTAAATCTATCTTTAAGTTGTGGTAAAGTATACATAATATAAAATTTACCGTGTTGATCATTTTAAGTGATAGTTCATTTGTATCACTGCATTTCCATTGCTGTGCATCCACCATTACCATCCATCTCAGAACCGTTTTCATCTTCCCAGATGGAAATTCCATACCAGTCAAACAGTAATTCTCTCTTTTTCTACCCCAGCTCCTGACGACTTTTTGTCTCTGAATTTGACTACTTTAGGCACTGCTTGTGGGTGGAATCCTGTACTATTTGCCACTTTTTAATGGCTTGTTTCACTGAGCCAGATGTCTTCAGGGTTCATCCATGTTGCAGCATATGGAAGAATTTCCTTTGTAAGGGCGAATATTATTCTGTTGTGCATACACACACACACACACACACACACACATAGTGGCAGTGCTAGGGATGTAGCGCAGTGCAATGCAAAGGCCTTTGGTTCAATCCCAAGTTCCACACATAAAACAACACAAATCTCCCCTCTTAACCCAGCCTAGAGGCTGGTTTTACGACTTACGTCCTGGTGTCCAAGCAAAATTGTGGGAGCAGACAGCTTTCACACAGCCCAAATCTGCTCCCAGAGCACAGCAGTGAGGATCACAGTGAAAATCTTTCCAAAAGGCTAGGGCTGCAGGAAATGGGAATTTTGTGCATTGCTAACTTCAGATCAACAGGAAATGCATCACTTAAAATGCTACATTTTGTTTAACCACTCATACATCAGTGGGTGCTTTGGTTGCTTCCATCTTCTAACTGTTGTGAAAAATGCTGCTATAGACATGAGTACCAGTTCAAGTCTCATTGGTCTTACTGATTTAACTCATTTACTGTATATTGCCCTTATTTGGTGTTATTGGATAATTACCTGCTAATCAGGTAAGACCAGTTTCTGACTTTATCCAAGACCCCTCTTAAGTGATGCATTTCCTGTTGCTCTGAAGTTACCAATGCATAGAATGGCTACTTCTCCCAGCACCAGCCTTTTTGAAGGACTTTCACTGTGACCCTCAGTGCTGTGTTCTGATAGCAGATTGAGGCTATGTGAAAGCTGTCCACCTCCAGAATTTAGCTTGGAGACCAGGTCGTAAGTCGTAAAACCAGCCTTTAGGCTACATTAAGATAGGAGATTTGTGTTTTGTTTTATGTGTGGAACTTGGGATTTAGCTAAAGACCTTTGCACTGAGCTACATCCCTAGCACTGCCACTTCCTCCTTTTGAGCCAGAGTCTTGCTAAATTGTCAGGTAGGAGTCAAACCTGCCATGTCCCTACAGTGCCCAGGTGTGCTGGGGTTACAGTGTGCACCATTATGCCTGACTGATTTGGGGAGGGGGTTGTATTTGTTTATCACCAATTTGAATGTCACTAAAACAGTGCAAAAACTAATGTCAGACTCCAGAAAGCAGGAAACTGAGGTTTAGAGTGACCTAATTAGGATTGAATTCCTTTGTTTCACAAATACTTATTGAACTCCTACCTGTGAAAAGTACCAACTGCTTTTGGAAAACAGATAAACAGAAATACTCCCTGCTCTCAGGGTGTTTTGCGGTACAAAATATTGGAGAAACTTCCTGTTGTCATCCAAAGGCTTTTAGACAAGGATTCAGCCATAGCTGTAAAAACCTTGAGATAAGGAAAATCCCGGAAGCCATGAAAAAGCAACATATGCTCTAAATTCAGATCTTGGCGTGGCTTTTAAGCAAGGATTTGTGGACTGAAGTCTTAACATGAACGCTTTAAATGCATGTAGCTTTGGCTTTACTTTGGCTAATAGAAAAGCACCAGGGAAACAGAAAGTACTCTTGCTCTTGACAGTATAAAATTCTTATTATTTTTAGTGAATAGTAACTATGCATTTATGAAACTCTGTCAGAGCAATTTAGTTAATAGCTATGTAAATGACTACTTATTTCACTGTGTAGGTGGATCACTCTATGTACACTTTGGAGAAAGAATTTAAGTGCTAGAAACTAATGCTGCAGATGGAAAGAAGCAAAAGTGAAGGCAAGAACGCCAGACCTTTGCTGTTAGGTGTTCCAAGGAAGCAGAGAAGCGCCAGCCAGCTTGTAGTGAGATTTGTTCAGTTACCAAGAGGGATTGCTTATTCACTGAGGTGAATTTCCATGTGAAATTGTTTCTTATTACTGGTTCTTAAGCACAAAAGATCATTATAAACCCAGTTGGGGTGGGACAGGGAGGTGCTGGAAATGAATCTCACAGCTATCAATCCCCTTGAAAGGGAACATCTGCAGACACCTGCGGGACACTTCTAAAAGGTCATTGTTTTTTCCAAATAAATCGTGGAGAAGTTAAGCCAGGCCGAGTCTCAGAAGAAGTCAGCAGTGCCCACGTTAGTGGGCCGCCTGGCAGATGGTCTCCAGCTCTTCCTTGCCCCAAGTTTACCTGCCCAGTGCATAAGGAGCATCTTCAGCTGCACTTGAGTCAGGACATCCCCCTTCTGTGAAGTGCTTGCATTCTCAGTTGTCACACACATCACATTAAAGTTCTTGGCAGTGGGTCTCAAGCTCTCCCACCCTTCCCACCTCAGAACTTGGTTCCCACTGGCATCAGCTCGCTTTCCCCGCATGAGGCTAGCAAGGGAAGCTAGAAACTGGCGTTTGTTCCTCCCCGGGGTTCCCTCTCCTCCAGTTCCTTTCCTGTGGCTCTCAGTCGTCAGTGCAGTGAGTCCTTTATCATCTGGCTCACACAGCAGTTGCTCTTGGCAAGTCCTTCCTGTGCCATGCCCGACCACTGAGAGTGGAGCCTGGTGGCCACGTGGCCGGCCCCAGCCCACCAACCCCGCAGGTGCTGTGCCCACCAGAGCCTCCCCCCTAACGTTTGCAAGTGTTCACTTTCTCTTCTGTTTTGTTCTCCTTCAGGTACAGACTGAAGACAGCGTCCTCCTGTTCGTTACTGCCTGGACAATCACAGAAATTATCCGTTACTCCTTTTATACATTCAGTCTGTTAAACCATCTGCCTTACCTCATCAAGTGGGCCAGGTAAAAATGGAACAAAGGCTTGAACTTCTCCATCATCACATTTGCCCTTTATTCCCTAAATGTTGCTCCCAAGTTTCTAAAAATAAAGTTGTATGAGACAGAAGTTGAGTAAGGTCCTTTACTTTCATTAATAGAAACAGTACTGGGAAAACTTAATTTTACATATTTTTATTGGGATCATTTCTTTTCAGTTGAATTTGGCAGTGGAGATTTAATGTAATGTCCCTTTTTTGTCTTTATCAAATTTTGCTAATGAACTTCTGCTGTTATGGTGGGTTTGTTTTTTTTTTTTAAGACCAAGCCCAATTCTCCTAGTCTCAATTTTTCTAAGACACTGTGACTCTTCATTTTTTTAGTTAATAACAAATGTACATTGTACTTTTAACTTTGCAATTCTTTTTGCTTCAGTTATTTTCACCAGTAGTATTTATTATGATGTGGGCAAAAGACTCATAACTTACCTGTTTATCTTAACTGATTTATAAGATAGTTGAGACCAGTTTCCTGAGTTAGAAAAACAAGTAGAAGAATCATAATTGTCCATGGAATAAAAATGCCTCTTTTCATGGAAGGAAAACAGTGGTTACTGAACACTTTATGAGTTCATTGACTAAGGACATAATTCTTTTGTTTCCAACATTTCAAATATGAGAACTCCTTTTTATTATTTTTTGCAGTAAGCATCTTTACTAGGAAAGAGGAGGGGTAGCGGCTACCAACCAGCCTGCGCAGCCACTTTGACTGCTGTCTAACGCAATTATAGGGGAGATTGTTGACCAAACCCTGATTTCACTATTGGCAAAAGATTCTTAAGCCCATTCTTCTCCATGGGCTATGGGAGACACTTTTCTCAAGAGTCTGTGTTCCGTTCAGGCATGAAATATGCTGAATAATCTATGAGGATGAAGTTTTGAAATTCCTCGTGTGTTTTTGTTGTTGTTTGTGGAGTTTTTGTTTTGTTTTTCTGAGTCAGGGCCTCACTGTGTAGTTCAGACCGGCAGCCTGGACTCGTTATATTCTAGGCTGACCTTGAACTCACAGTGATTCTCCTGCATCTGCCTCCTAAGTGCTAGGACTACAGGTAAGTGCCACCATGCCCAGCTTCATGTTTCAAAAATTTACATATATTCAGTTTTTCACAGCAGTATGTACAAACATTGAAAAAGTCACAGCCACACACACGTGTGGTGTGTTTTTTGGTTTTTGGTTTTTTTTTAAATCCACAGACTAAACATGCTATATGTTTTAGGACTTTCTCCTAACCCCTCTCAACCCCCACCCCCCCAGGACTCAGTGCCCTGCTTTGCCAGGGTCCACCATCCCCTTTGTTGTTCTGAAGGGTTGCTTAATAGACACATAGAGTTTGTCTCAGAACATTCAGAAACCTGTACCTGCTCTAGGCTCTTTTCAAAAACTGGCTTGTAAAGCCTGGATTTCAGCAAAAGGTAAATGGTAAGTGTAGAAAGCACCTCCCTCTGAAAGACCAGGACGGTGGGGAAGGGTGGGAGCCCGTCTTTCCAGCAGCACTGGCGTCGCGCCTCCATCATGGGTCTTTTGCTTTGTTTCAGGTACACACTTTTCATCGTGCTGTACCCAATGGGAGTGTCAGGAGAGTTGCTCACGATCTACGCGGCGCTACCCTTTGTCAGACAGGCTGGCCTGTATTCCATCAGTTTACCTAACAAATACAATTTCTCCTTTGACTACTATGCATTCCTAATTCTGATAATGATCTCCTACATTCCACGTAAGTAAATAGTTGTGCATGTGTTTATTTATGTCTTACAAATTTGACTCCACAATACCTAGAGTTAAATGTCTTTGATTGTCTTTGCACTGTGTCCAACTAAATATAAATCTGATTTACTGGGAACACTGGTTTTTATTGAATGCTGTCAAAAGAAGTTTTCTCTGGTAATTGAATAAAGATGAGCCCTTCTCAACACAGCTGCCAACTACAGCCCTTCTCAGTGTGTGGGTTTGAAATACTGAATACCAGGGTAAATTAATCTTATTTGGGGGGAAAGTACTGACTAGAAAACAAAAATGCCATTAGAGGCCTTACCTTGATTTTATTTTCCTGTCTCTTAAGAAATGCTTATTATGGCTTGTGAAAAACATAATAAAAAGATTTTTGCATTGTTTACTGTATCAAAAGAGACAGTTTTACTTCATTTTAAGGGATGAGTAGTTAACTGGAAACAAATAACCAAATAAAGAGATTTTTTTCCCCTATACTTCTCATTTGCTTGTTGAGCACTAAAACCTCTGCAGGAACAGCGTGTTCCCTTCGGGATGGTTTCCAGTCCTGTTCCTGGTATGAAGTGCACAGGGGATCAGATACGCTCGGAGCATTCTGAGTGGCAGAGGAGAAAAGACATGTGTAACACTCGTGTGAGATGAGTCCTGGCCACAGGGTGGAGGAGGTGGATCTGATAGTTGTGATCAGTCTTGGGGTCACTTTCTACGTATGGATCTCATTAGTGATGTTCGTGTTTCTTCTCCTTGGGTCTGTCTGCAGCCTCTGCACCTCCACATCTTACCTTAGTCACTGAAGGGTGCCTGCGTCTCCCTTGAACCCCAAGTTAAGTTCAGAGCAGGGTGGGTTTTTCCTCAGCCCCAGCGCTGTCTGAATAAATCATCCTAACAGTCATAAATGACACGTGTTTTGTCCCTCTGTGGAAAATTGCATTTCATGCATTAAGAGAAAGAAACTACATCCAGATTCCATGTGAACATTTATTTTGGAGAAATTCTTGGATGCAGTCCTGCTTTCATGATTCATTTTCCAGTCTTTTTTTTTTTGTATCAGGGTCTCTCTCTGTAGTTCAGGCCGGCCTTGAACTCACTTTGTAGCCCCGGCTGGCCTCAAACTCGCAGTGAACATCCTGCCTCAGCCTCCAAAGTGCTGGGATTACAGGCATGTGCCACCACACCCGGCTCATTTTCCAGTCTTTATTATTGCGTCCCCTCTTCAGCTGGCCGTGGTGGTACATGCCTGTAATCCCAGCACTCTGGGAGGCTGAGCAGGAGGATCACAAATTTGAGCCCAGCCTGGGCAACTAACTTAGCAAGACCCTGTCTGAAAATTTTAAAAAAGTAAAAGCTGAGGATGAAGCTGAGTGTATTACACATACACACACAAAAAAACTTTTCCCCTGTAGTGTCAGAACATGGTGGCAAAAGGCCATCTCTCTTCAGATGTAACAAGTAGTTGGTTTTCAAACAAAGGCAAATATAGAAGAATCTAAAACATTTAAGTAAAAAAATTAATGTAGTCTTTCACCTTTCTTTGTTTTGTTTTGTTTTTTTTTTGGTTTTTTTCTGGTACCGGGAATCGAACTCACGATCTTGCGCTTGCCAGGCAGGCGCTGTGCCGCTGAGCTAAATCCCCAGCCCCGTCTTTCACCTTTCTAACCTTGTTCCCTCAGCATTGCATTTTCCCATCTCTAGAACTACAAGGCGCAGTTGCAGTTTTACCACTTCCAGAGCAGTGCATGTTATCCCAGTGGCCACTACAGAGTTTATTTCCACTCAATAATTTTTGAGTGAATAGGACATATATGCCAAGTTGGGAAATGACAGGGAAGGTATGGACACAGACCCTAACAAGGTACTTGCATGCTGACAGTCATCCAAAGGTTCTGACTTCAGAATTCCTATAGGATTTCCAGTCTGGCTGGACGTGATGGCACATGCCTATAATCTGGCACTTGGGAGGCTAAAGTAGGAGGCTCGAGTTCAAGACCAGCCTCGGTTATACAACAAGACCCTCTTTCAAAAAGAAAAGATTTCTATTCTGTTTGAGAAGGGGTGCTTCATTCCAGGAGCAACTCCCCATGCAGACCGCCTGTACCTGCTAGTCTTTTATGCCCATGTAGCCAAGCACCATGCCAAGCCTTCCTGCGGCCCTCCTGATGTAATGGCAAGGCTGGCCACGCACCACAGCCCTTCCAATGCTAGGATTCCCGGAGGAGCACAGCTACCTCTATGGGATTTTCTTTCTTGTCCTTAAGAGAGCCAGCTAGAGGGGACAGGACTCTGCCCCCAACAGAACTCAGCCTTCTTGACCTTCCTTTCTCCTTCCAGTCTCAACCCCCCTTTTGATAAGAGAGAGTGGCTTATTACAGTTTATTATAATCTCTACTTAAAAGGCATTTTAACTCCTATAGACAGGCAGATGGTTGGCTTTCAAATAAAGACTGAAAGATTCCTTCCCTGACTGCCCGGCCAAGTGCAGGAGGGCAGCCATTCCACCTCCCTGCTGCAGCCACCCTCACGTCTACTGGCACCCTGTGCTCCTGGCCTGCCAGTGGCCCTGGGTTGTTTCGGTAACCAGGTTGTTAATATCAGGACCAGATTGTACAGTTCATCCCAGCCAACTGCACATTTCCAACTTTCCAATGCTTTGTAAGAAGAAAATGCAGAATTGGGTGAGATTGCTGTTGACATGCAGTCTTGTTTACCAAATTTGGCTTTCTTTCTACAACTTCATCTTCTGATGGGCAGTTGGCAATACACATATACTGTATAAAGTAGGCCTTTTCTCCGTGCTTCTGATCCATTGTTACATGTGTAGCTCCAACTGTGGCCCCTGGAGTGTGTCCAGCTGGGGGCTTCTTAGGGTCCCTGGCAGAGTGCCTCTCCCACTTCTGCCTGTGCAGCATGCACAGTAGGGAGACAGCGCAGTACTTGCATGGTTCAGTGGGCATCGAAGTCCTGTTTACAGCCCTGCCCCTAACCCCCAGCAGATGGGCAAAACTTGGTGATGGGGATAAGCACAAGAGAAAGGTTGAAAAACACTAGTTAGTAAGGCAGGGACTCCAAGAAGCCGGCACTCTCCAGGTGGTCGGTGACCATAACCACACCTGACCTCCGGAGAATCTGAGGACTTGTCCCAGGCAAAGTATTCCCAGTTGCTCTCACGGTCCAGGTATTCCTCTCCTGAGAGGGGAGGGAGCCACTGGGATGTTCCCCACACCAACACACAACAACTGGCCCCCTTCTGGAATGTGTCCTGAGCTAGGAAATCGGAAGGTTGGTGCTCAGCAGCCTCTTGTCGGGTGCAGACCTGTTTTGGGTCTCCATGTGCAGCCTGTTGTGGTCAGGTCAGGTCATAGCCTTGCCCTGGAATGCTTAAGCCATTGTGGTTGCGTTCAGCCTGAACACATGGGTCATTCTGATGGGGACATTATCAGAAAGTCACTGCGGGAGCTGCAGAGAACAACTGAGCATCCCTGGCCTCCCAATGTACCCTCTTTCCCTTGGTACTGAGAATCTTCTGTGGGCTATAAAGGAATGAAAGGGTCCCATGTGCCCTGACATGAGGCATCTGATCCTGCTAGCAGCCACAGGCCTGGCCCTTGCTTTGAACTGAGACTGCACCTACCAAATGGTCTATTGGACCGTGCTCTGTGGTTACATTACCCACGGATACAACCAGTGAAAGACACAACCATAGCACACTCAGCTCACAAAGATCACTAAAGTAAATCTAGCAATGTGACTGGCCCTGCATTTTTAAATGATCGCAATTAGCATTCCTTATAGTTTAATTATATCTTTACTTTCAGTTTTTAGATTATAGAGCTTGTCAAATTTTCTGGCTTTCACACAAGAATAATTCTCTAGCTACTGAAGTCTGTGCATAAGCTCGGTCTTCTCTGTGAATAACTTCCGGCCTGAAAATAGCTCATGGAGTGATGGTGGTGCTGCTTAGTACCCGGCGTCCTCTGCGGTTGATGTATAGCACCTCCTAACATCATGGAGTACTTAGGGAGGGTCCTTTAAAATGTGGCCGGCTTGGGATCCATTGAAAAAGGAAGAAACGGTCCAGGGAGAGTTGGCAGTAGGAAGCTGCCCTCAGAAAGTACAGGTTACTGTCTAAAAAGCAAGAGATGAGAGCCACTGAGGAGGGAGAGGAAGAGAGGGTATTGTGTACCAAAAGCCGCCCACAGGGCCCTGACGAGTTGCCAGGCTCCCTGGGTACAGTAACCTTGCAAGGCCCTGCAGCTCCAGCTGGCCTCGGAACACTGTTGGCATTTGAGGCTCATGCTGCAAGATGTTTTAGCATCCCTGGCCCCCTCCTCTAACTACCAGCTACCTGCCCTGCTTATTTCCAGATGTTCCCTAGGAAGGTTCTCATTTGAGAACCAGTGCTTTGTGTTCTACGAAATCCCCCAAAACAGAAGACTCTCCAGTGCTAAGATACTGACTTGCTTTCCATGAGGGCTTTTTCTGTGTCCCAGCCTGCCTTTGCTATGTTGTGGCTCTTCCCTGCCCTTCAGCTGTACTATCCAAAGAGCATCCTTTCTCCGGAGTGCTTTGGGAGACCCCTCCTCCTCGCCCCAGCGATGGAATTGGTCAGACGTGGGGGTGGGGGGTGTCGAGGAGCCTGGACCCTGATCCTTAGTCCACAGTGACTTGCTGTGAGAACCCAAACCAGTCATTTACCTTCTCTGGGGCTTAAATTTCTCCTTGAAATCAGAGTAATTCCATCACTAGTATTGTTATGAAGTTGATCAGAATAAACACGAGAGTATGAATGAATAGTACTCAATAGGGCTGGGAATATAGCTCAGTGGTAAAGTGCTTGCTTAGCATGTGTGAGGCCCTGGGTTCCATCCCTAGAACCACAAAAAGAGGTAATTTGGTGGGTCTGTGGCATCTTCATTAGTAATGGTTATAAATTTGCAGCATTTGTTATAAATCTTCATACCATTCCTCACCTCAGCTAAAGCAGGGGAAGCGGAGTCTTTCAGTGGGAACACCCCCCCTTACACCCCGCACTTTTCCCCAGTGCTGCTTCCTTATCTTCCTTGGTTGCTGGATGAGAAAGTAGTCAGGAAGGTCGACAAGAACACAAGTTCGTGTGCGTTAAGTAAAATGTGCAGTTTTAACCAGTTCTTTAACCAGTTCTTTCTTTTTTTCTTTCAGTTTTCCCCCAGTTATACTTCCACATGATACACCAGAGAAGAAAGGTCCTTTGTCATACTGAAGAACACAAGAAATTTGAATAGTTCTTGCTTCCTGCACCATCCCCCCAAACCAAACTTTTCATTGATCAAAAAATGCTGCAGACTTTTTGAGTTCCCAGTACGTTTCATAGAAAAAAATTAAGAACTATTTTTAAAATATTAAATATTAAAAACAAAACAAAAACCAAAATCCAGTGTCACATGGGCCTGGAATTTTATAAAAAAAAAAAATTTTTTTTTTTAAAGCTGTTAACATACAATGTCCTGGCCGGTCCATTTTAGCATGCTCTTTCAACCAGAAGTCCTCAATATTTACAATGGCGCTAGAAAGGGGTTTGGCATCGATATATCTCGTTGTGTGTTCTTCATGTATCCAATAGAGAGAGACCTATCAGCTGACCGCTCGGGAGTTACAGTCTGAGTAAGAAGGTTGGCCCAGTGTACGCTCAGCTCGCAGCAGAGCTTAGTTCGGTCTGCAGTGTGTTTGGCATTCCCTTCTCACAGTGCTTGACTGCATGCTGGAACCTCTTTGTATTTTTGAAGTGGCAAACTTTGTTCTCTGGAATGCTCTGAAGTTATGGCTGGGATCTAGCCCCTCATATCTAGTGAATGAATTATAAAATGTGTATGCCTGTGAAACTTTGGAGTAGTGCCCGTAAACAAAAAAAAACTAGAACCCTTTCGTTTCTTTCCAATTGAGTCATTATTGCTTGCCACTGAGAAACAGGCTTGAATTTAATCAGTGTGTGCATAGTGTAAAGAACCTACCCTAACCTGGAGCTTGGCTTCGACCGTGTTGTAACAAGTGACAGTTCTCTGAGCGGTAAAGCTCAGTAGCTAGTAAGTGACAAGTGTGTTTCACAGGACTGGTCTCAGAGCACCTCTGAGTAATGTGTTTGCCAATAGCTGTTCTCATTTATGGACTCCAAGCCCATCTTGTCACATAGGAGCAGGGAATCTGTTATTTCAAGTACAAGGAAGCTGTTGCTTTTAAAATGTCTGGAAAAACATTAAGGAATGGCTTTAGACATTATTTTATTTTGTCAAGTGTATTCACTCTTCTGTTTATTTCTCATGGTGATGGCCGTGTGTTCATTCCCACCAAGTGTTAAGAGGCAGTGCCCGCTCTGAATGGACAGTCAAGTAAAAAGCAGCATCGTCCGGCGTGTTGGTCCTGTGGACATTGTCTAGCTAACATCGTATGTTCACACCACCTCACTGCTCATCTCAGCTGTGCATGTAAAGCCCCTCAAGAGGGGGCTGGAGGAAAATGTGAAGCCCAAGTGTAGATGTGCATTCACGTGCACAGATGTGCACAGTATCTTCGTTGTGGAGCCTTTTTTCCCCTGACCTTTAAGACTTTAAAAGTCAGGCTTAATGAGTAATTTAAAATACAGTTGTCAGTAGCAGAAGAATGTCATAATGAAAAACTAAACTTTAAAATGCATATTTTTACAGGAACTTGAAAATCTAATCCAAGCAGCTGTATAATAAATTTATTTTTTAACTGAACATTAAAATTCTGCTTCTTCAAGTCAGTACTGCTGGGCGTGTTGAGATTAGAATCTGTTCTTATATTTGATAGACGAGGAGAGATGAGTTTTCCTCTTGTTACCCCTTTTTATTCTTCCAGAATGTTATTTCCACTACGAAACAGAATCATCATCCGTTATATTAACCTTATTACTTTATTTGGTTAAGATTTTTTTCAGTTGTTTTTGGAATTGTAGAAAGCGGGATGGAAAATGCAGGTTTTCCAGGATTGGATGGAGGACTGCAAGGTCTCCTTAGACTTCTTTATTCTAACTAGTCACTGCTTCTGAAAAAAGTTCTCTTGCAAAACAGCATATTGCATCGAGTTGAACTTTGGCAGTGAGAACATAGCAAACAACTCCCTTTTCAAAAAAGGTCTCAACCCAAGTATACTTTTTTACATCAACATTTAAAATACAGCAGATAAGGAAGGCATGTCACTGTGTCCTTCAAGAACCTCTCAGTAATGGGTTTTTTTCTGCAATTCCTAACGTGAATTGACTTCTTTGAAGCAGTGGTTTTCTTCTCTAAACTGAGAACATCCAACCCCACCGAAGGTCACTTCTGAGTAGAAAGCATGAATGAGGAAGGTGACGTTCAGTGGGGTTTTGTCAGTCTCCATGGTTGCCTTGTGAGGCACAGAGACACCCTCTCCCAGCACCCACTCAAGGTCGTGTTTCAGGTCCCCTGGGGGGGCCGTCCGCCGATGGGGACTTCTCTGAGGTACACAGCGGCGCCTTGTAGACACAAGCTGCTAATCTGCATCTTGCTGTGCCGTTTGCTGAGGTCAGGACCACTCATTTATCATGTCCCCTCCCTGATCAAAGGCCCCGTGTAGGTGTAATCCTGGAATAAAGCACCGACCTCCCAGATAAAAGCTTTCCTCAGGAGCAGACTTCAGCAAGGAAGATACAGAGCTAGAGATGCAAAAGAAGCGAGTATGCCTGCATTTTTCACTTCTTGTGTTGGGTTATTCATGTCTAATAAAAGGCTGGCATTGATGTGGTCCAACCTGCGAATTATTTTCAATCCTGAGTTTCTGATAAACCATTAAAAAACATTAAATTCATTACACACTGCTCCTTTGAAATTTGGGTAAAAAAAATTAGAAAACCATATATTGAATCATTTTTGTATTTTTTCTATGTTGTGAAAACCAAAATTGTAATTTTATAAGTCTATGATTCACTAAAATTCTATAATTTAAATGTATTTTTTGTATATTTAGAAATAAGGAGTTCAAAGACTGCTAACTTTCTATGCATGCATTTGGAAGCTGTTTCTACCTGATAATGTAGTCATAAGTTATATTCATAAAATACTGACCTGTGTTGCATTTCACAATAAACTGCTGTGTGCTCTGCCTGAACTTGGCCTGAAGGCACTGTTGCAGGAATGTGGAGAGGTTTTGGTTCTCCAGCTCTCTTTGACAGTTTTTAAATCTATTTCTGCTATTAATGGTTCTATTTCAGGAAAAACAGATTGCAAGAGGTTTCCAGAAAGTCATTCTTCCCTGCCAGTCAGTGTTCAAGCTTACCAGGCCCGTCTGCAGGTCGCATGCAGAGTACAAGGGCCGAGAAATCCAGAAAGCCGGTCAGCAGAACATTTCAAGCCCTCGTCTTGGAGCGATGTTTTGGGTTTGGGGTGTTTTTAGTGTAATTTATCTAAGTTGAGTGGAGGCTACTATGGCCCTGCGGTGTGTGTCACACCTCATCCTGAGCAAGCTCCCAGATCCAGAACATCCAAAGAACTGCTTCACACACTACCATACTGCCTTAAGACACGGTAGAAGGACCCTGGTTAGGGTGGGTGTGGTAAGGTCACTCCTAACCCTCCAGCTCTAGAGCACCGGAGTTTCATTTCCCTCACTGTGTGAATGCATGCTGGGCACCTGGTGGTCAGTTCGCTGTGTTTGCAGCAGTACTGTGCTCCCACTTGAGTCCACTGTGTCTTTCCAAGTTCCATGTCCCCGTGCCCCTGTGTGTGGTCTTGTCCCAAAGAGAAATACCTCCATCCTGAAGGCTGCCAGGTGTTCTCAGCACAGCAGTTAGATTCCCCCATCTTCTCTAGAATCCACTCTGCCTTAAGGTGGGCTCTTCATTATGAAAAGAGAAAAGAGATTATCATAAATGAAACTGAGGCACAGATGGTGAAGTTCATAGTCAAAGCTACCCAGAAAATCCAACCTTTACAATCTTGGGGTACTAATGGGAAGCCAAGGCTTTCTGATTTGTCATTGTCCTCTATTGGGGCAATTATGTGTACCATGTTAACATAAGCCGTAGCCTGGAGGAATTACTATTAGTATAATTATGAAACCTACTGTTACAACATTCCAAAAATACTACTGTGTTGTTCTGTTCCCTTTAATAAGAATGAAAACTAGCTTTGAAGTTCCTCCTATTATTTAAAAAAAATCCCAGCCTCACAAATAGCCTGGCTAATTGTCATACTGTTTAGTGGTGAAGAAACTGTTCTAAGCAACTATTACCAAAAATAGCCATACCTATTAGCATGCCCCTGCCTGCAACCCAGAGCAAAGTTTGAAAGAGCTGGGTAGCTTTTTTACTGTTAAGCAAAACGTGAGGGACCATAATCTTTTTGCCCTCTGAGTGGGCTGGGGTGTAGCTTGCCTAATAAGGCCCTGGGTTCTGTCCTCAACACCACAAAAAGAAGAAAGGTCACCTGAAGATACACTTCAGTGTCCTGTCACGGGCTCGCATATGCAAGGCCCGGGTTTCAACAGCCAGTGTCACAAAATAACACACGAGAGGCTGTATTTAAGCACTTAGTGCCGATTTCAGAAATCCTTTTATGCTGGGAATCACGTTCTCTGTTCCGTGATTCCAGCGCGCAAACACCCAGAAAGGCAGCGCTCCACACCTGTCTGGCGTTTTGGTGTGTAAGAGCCAGCCCTGGCCTTCTTTCCGCCTCCGCGTTGTTGTAGCCGGCCTCTCCCGCTGGGGGGCAGCACCTCCCAAGCGATCTGGGCTCCAGGAGCCAGAGGAGTTTGCAAAACAACTTTAGCCCAAGGACACAGGGGCAGAAAGGAGCACTAATGAAAATCAGTCACACATCTTCATTGTCCATATAAAGCAAAGACAAGTTTTCAAGCACATTCTGGAAGAGTACAGGAAGTAACACTTTTTTAGAGCAAAGGACCCAGTTGAGTGCGCTTTGAGGTTCAGTCTTTTCCGACTGCCGCACCCTCCCTGTGGCCCCCACGGCCGACTACGGTTGGAAGAGCCAGCAGCTTTGGAGCTGCCTCCCGAAGCAGGTGTTAAGCCTCCTCTTTAGTGCACCGCCTGCTTGTTAGTATTTGAAATGTCCGGGGAGGTCAGTTCCCACTCTGTCTCTGGATATTTTTGGAGGGTGGCCTGGGCCATGAGAAAATGTCAGGCCACCTTATAAGGCCGTGTCTGGCCCCAAGAATGCCTGTCTGCAGCATGTTCGGTACACTCTGGACTTGAGTTCACTTGACTCTTGGACTGTGGGTTTTCTCACAGATTCAGCCTGCCTCTATTCATGCCATGGGTTCTCACTCACAGACAGAGGCCTGCCTCGAGGGGCAGCTGTTTGGTGCCCGTACTGAACACACCAGCTAGATAACCAGTTTGTGTCCGTCAACCACAAGGGCTGTGAGTGAGGACAGGAGTATGGGTATGGAAGGAAGAAGGGGCTGTGGTTTAAAACGCATACATAAAAATTAAGTTTTTTTTCTCCTAAACATTTCTCCCTCCCCACACCACTGAGCTACATCCCCAGTCTTTTTTTTTAACAGGATCTTGCCAAGTCACTCCATCACCCAGGCTGGACTGAAACTTGCCATCCTCCTGTCTCAGCCTCCCAGAGTACTGGGATGATAGGTGTGCACCACCACTCAGGGCTTGGTTCACTCTTTTTGTGATCAAATCTAGTTTGAACCTCCACAAGAAGGGGTGCTGTGTGCGATTTTCCAGACCTATTGTTCACATTTATCTTTGAAACACTTTCAGGGCTAAGGCTCTCCGAACGCACCTTGACAAACCCTAACTGCTGGTGGCAGCCCGCCCCATCCAGGAGCGTTGACCCATCCAGGGGAAAAATAAGAGATGAGGGGCTCAGCCGGGAATCTAGGGAGAGTGCTCCTCATTTCCTTGTTGTTTCCAAGAGTCTTGTGGTTTTTTTAAAAAGTATAAACTACCATCATCAAATAAGGAAATGTAAAATGTAATGGTAAGAACCCAGATGTCAGTAGCCCCGGACCAAGCCTGCCTCTTGCTGCTTTCCTGATGTAAAAGGTGTCCAGCCGTGGGTGTGAACTGTCTTTCTCTCCAGGCAGACCAGGCTGGGAGCAGCAGCCCTGCTGGGCCACAAATGCTTCAACCCTGAGCCCCTGGGGCTTCAGACCTGTGGCTACCTCTCTTGTGTACTGTCTGAGAGTCCCTTTAAATTCCATTCTCCTGAAATTTCCAACTTATTCTTTTGTGTGTGTGTGTGTACCAGGAGTCAAACTGAAGACCTCTTGGTTGCCAGGCAGGCACTGAGCCATCCAACTTATTCTTAACGTGGGATAGCATTCCCAGTTTCACAGGGAGAACAGCCATCAGACAAAACTTGCTTGTCCTGGGCTCACCCTTTCCTTCCGTTAGGGTAGAAGAGATGACTCTTCGTAAATCTAATCCCTACCTTGAGCTCTAGATGTTTCTGCCCTGCCCTTCCTCGGGACCTCACTCTGACATCCACTCCTCTCTCAGTACTTCCTCTTTGCCAGCTCTTCTGGCCTTGGCCTTGACCCCATGCCCTCCGCTCCTCCCCTCTCCTCCTGTCCTCGGGAAGAGCTGACTACAAGCTCTTCCTTCTTTTTCACCTGCTTCTGCCTCCCTCCCCAGCCTGGCTCTTCCTGCCTCACCACACACACACACACACACACACACACACACACACACACCAGCTGTACTCAAGATCACTAGTGACCTTGGAAAGAAAACCAGTGCATACTTGTAGTCCTTTTCATGGTTAAAATACAGGTGCAGTCTTTCTTTTTTTTTTTTGTTTTCTCTGGTACCGGGAACCGAACTCACGACCTTGCGCTTGCCAGGCAGGCGCTTTTGCCACTGAGCTAAATCCCCAGCCCCTAGGTGCAGTCTTTCTGAAATTAGAAATTAATGTACCCGGTACCGGAGAAAAACCAAAAAAAAAAAAAAAAGAAATTAATGTAGTGGTGACACATGCCTGTAATCCCAGCGTTCAGAAGGCTAAGGGAGGAGGATCACTAGGAGTTTGAGGCCTGCATGGGTCATATAGTGAGAGCCTGTCTCAGAGAAAAAAAGAGAGAGAGAAAGAGAGAGAGAGAAAGAAGAAAGAGAAAAAAGGAAAAGAAAGAAAGAATATACTGAAGGTTCCAGCGATGCACATTCCTGGCTCAGAGCTCGTATTCCCCCTCCATGCATCCCTAGTGAAATTATATGCAAAGAATCAATGGAAAGCAAGCAAAAAGAGCCAGGGTAGAGTTCTGGTAGGCTGGGAAGAGCTCTAGAACATTCCTGCTTCCTAAAGTAGTGAGAGGTAGGAGTTACACTAAAGCCTGCTTAAACTGAGGCCTGCTCAACTCATCTCCCCCCATACCCCTCCCATCCTCTCCATGTCAGCACCTAGGTCTTAGCCACCGCGGTGGGAGAAAGCCGATCGATCGCACACCGGCCTCGGGAAAACACAGAAGGACGCGCTCTTGGTACCAGGCTGGCCTTGGCTGGTGGAGGCCTAGGCTAGGAAGGACAGGAAAGCATCCAAGGATGTTGTACCCGACTGCTCTTACCACTCAGAACCTGAAGAGATGGAAGAGAGGCCACACCCATGTACGCCAGCCTTTTAATGATGTCCATCCTCTCCATCCTCTCCACCCACTTCCACCAGCAAATACGGCCCCATCAGAATCTCCAGAACTTGAAGATCACCATTCCTCTTGCTTGAGGAAGAGCAAAGATGGCTGGGGGAGTGAAGAGGGACCTTGGAACCCTTCCCAGGGAGCCGTCTTTCCTTCCCATCAGCCACCATTTTCCTTGATGTACTGTTTTCTCCTGGTGCCTGCTCTTTCCGTTTTCTCCCACCTCCTAGGCTGGCCTTTCTCACTGTCCTCTGCCTCTCCTCACCAGAGCTTCTCACATTTGCACGCGCAGCAGGAATCATCCACAGTGCTTGTCAGCAATCAGAGTCCCGGGCTTCCACAGACCTGCAAAGTTGGAAATGCCGGAGATGGAGCTTTAGGCTCTGTTTCCAGCCAGTCTTCGTGAATGCTCTGAATGCAGGGACTTGGAGAGCAGTTCTTAAATGTATTGTCTTACCAGGCCTGGTGGCGTAAGGCTGTGGTCCCACCACTCTGGAAGGCAGAGACAGGAGGATTACACGTCCAAGACC